AACTTGGCGCTCGCGCCCAGCCGCCCACTTTCCCCCTAACGGCTACACTGCTCCCTTCACTGCTTTCTCCTTCCGGGAGGCTGGACGGCCCTGCTCTCTCCTCCGCCCCTCCACTCTCTGACGGAGGCGTGGTCAGTCCTGCCTCACTCCCTCCTCCTGCAGGAGGAAGCTTTTGTTCTAATCTGTGGGATTCTTCCCCCCCACTGCGCTCTGGTGGGGAAGCTACCCCTGATTTCCAGCTGCCGCTTGGCGACTCCCCACTGGCCCCCCTTGCCCTGACCCTGGGGGCCTCCTTCTGGGAATCTTCTGATTCGCTGGAGAGACTCAGGGAATCTCTCTGGTCACTGTCACACCCTCCTGCGCTCCCCTCCGATTGTTCCCCTTCGCTCTCCATCTCCTCCTTCTCCTGTGGCTCAGTCCCTGAGCCCCTGACAATGATCTTTGTTTTTTATTGGGAATTTGCAGGAGGTGAGCATTTACCCTAATTTGCTTGCACAGAGATAATCAGTCTTCCTGTTAATCAAATTTTTAACCTGCACTTTTCAGCACATTCACTGTCACTTTCCTAACTGCATTTTTTGTGGATTTGCTGTGACAGAATGCTTCAATCCACCTTAATTGTGAAAACCTACATTTTCAGTATTGGGATGAATGCTTAATAAACAGGTGCTCTGGAGGAGCCCAAAGCTTCCTGATCAAATGTGATGCCCTTCACAACCCAATATTTCTGCAAGTAGATGCAACATAATTAAAGTTTCTAAAAATAAACCACAAAAAATTACAACATTAGAAGTAAAACAGTAGTACAGTAGTATAAGTTATCCAACGGGGCAAAATAAAGATTAAGGCTGCATACACACAACATTTGATTCCAGAATCAATGGAGACTGAGTAGTTCTTTTTTCTATGTAGGCCACCCACAATCTACATATATTGCATATGTTTTAGCCTAAAAAGAGCTTATTGAGAAGCTGGTTTCGTTCTGAAAATAAAAGCCCATTGCAGATTGATGCTGCAATACCCTGCAGCGTGCCTATTTGGAAACAGATGTTGGTGGTCCTGGCAATGGGCCACCATTGGTCCACATCTGCTCAAGGACATAGTGGGTGGGCATATACCAAGGTCACAATCACCACTTCCTTCCTCTTCATTCACCTGGGACATTTGCAGGGAGGAAAAGGGGAGTGTTTTCAAATGCATATCAAGTAACCACACCCAACCTCGTGGACAGTAGGACCTAGGATCAATCTAGACTGAAAGCAGCATGTTGAGGACAAACAATTTTGGATTGGGGAAAAAATAACAAACTACATTTGGTTAGTGTGCATGCAGCAGCCAAGGCAACCAAGAAAACCAGAGAGGACAGTGGATGCAAAGCTCATCTCCTTCTCCTCTTTTCAAGTCTTTATAGCAATATACGACAACCTCCCACTCTTTCGGGCCAGAACTGGCTCCTAATCTTTTCTCCAATTAAATTATAGCAACATTTTGTTCATAGGCTTCACACAGTCAATCATCATCATGTCAACAGATTTCAAACACATCCATATATCTGCAGCCCCTGCTGGAGAAACCAAGTGTCTGGTTATTTATATTGTGTGAAGAGAGGACTGTTATCAGGCCACTGGATACAATTCATTGTTTCTGTGAGTGATGACAAGCTTCCTTCCTGTACTTAACATCTGATTAATGTTTGACATATTTTAATGAGAGCATTGAGTAGTCATGAAGAGGAAATAAAGAAGGCCTTGTCGTGGTCCTCTTCGGAAGGGACAAGATTGAGAAAATGTATGGCAGAATGCTGGAGACAGAGGAATACCAGTGAAAAATAAATGTATGACGTGCCTCCCAGTGACTAATTTGCAACTCATTAGATTATTTAGAAACAATGGAAAGACTAAGGCTTGGTTCAGACACCCACTGGTTCTACAAAAGTGGTCATGGGAATTGGGGTGGGAGCAAGGGCTGCTAGTAGGCTTGCAGCCTGGTGGAGACAGCATGGAGGCATTAGTAATATAAACTAGGGCTTCCATGTGTAACCCAAAAATGTGGCTGCTGTGACTTCTGCAGTTATGGAGGCTCTTTTTGGGATAGCCTGGGTTGTGTAAATGTTAGTGGCTGTCCCTAAAATTACCATGTAGAGGCTTCAATTCCTACAGTCAGCACCACTGTAGGATCTCCACCAAGCTGTGAGCTAGCCAACAGTTCTGTGCACTCAACAGCTGTCTGAAATAGACTCCAAATTATCTTATACAAATGGGTGTGATTCCAAGATGAGAAACATGCCTCCATGGCTTCCTGATCTTGGTCAAATCCTGCTTTCTTCTCCTTCCCACACTATTCTACCCGCTGCTTTCCTCTGTCCTTGTTCCATCCCCTTTTGGTTGGACATTGGACTAAGAGCGTGGTCTGGAATGGCTTCTGTCTCTAGACCTGGCTTTGCTCTCCATCCTGATGCAAGTCCCAATCCAGCCAAGATCTGTAGCTCTATCTCTCTGCATGCTTAACTGCCTGTGGACTGGATTTGGTAACTGGGAAGTCCTAGTATACTGGAACAGGCGGTCATCCCTTGCATGGATGCAGCAACTGCACCAAAGTGAATGCTACACTTGCAAAACTTTGAAGCTGATTAGCCAACTTGGTGCCCTGCAGATGTTTTGGATTATGATTCCCATCATATCTGACCATTGGCCACAACTTCTGGCGGACACCTCCTTGGCTACCTCTTCAGAAGAACGAGATAGCAGGACACCATTGCTTAATGCAGGCTTCCTCAAACTTGGCCCTCCAGGTGTTTTTGGCCCACAACTCCCATAATCCCTAGCTAGCAGGACCAGTGGTCAGGGATGATGGGAATTGTAGTCTCAAAAGATCTGGAAGGCTGAGTTTGAGGAAGCCTGGCTTAACCATAAGTTAAAGAAGTATGAGGCCCTGTTTTCTTTCTGACTCATCAGGCACCCTTAGCAACATGATAAAAAATTCTCCCCCTGCCATTCAAATCAAGATCTGCCATATAACCAACTACATATACTTCTCTGTCTGTATTAGCTTGTCTATCTTTACTGGGGGTAGATTCAGGTAGGTAGCCATGTTGGTCTGATGCAGTAGAAATATATTAAAAAAATTAAAAATTGTCCAGTCGCACCTTAGAGACTAACTAAGTTTGTTCTTGGTATGAGCTTTCGTGTGCATGCATGCTTCTTCAGTGTATACAGGAATCATCTCCTCCAATACTGCTTCAATACATGACTGCGTCTTAAGACCAAGGGGACCCTATTAGCTGTCCCAACTGTGGCAGAGGCATGGCTGGTTGGGACAAGAGAAGGAGCCTTCCTGGTGGCTGCATCCAAGTTATGAAGTATCTTGCTCTGCAAGGTTTGCTTGACTCCTTCCCTTGCCATTTCCTGCCATTTTATGAAAACTTTCCCGTTCCAGTAAGTTTTTCTCAAGCCTGTTTAGGGCTTTTAACAGCTGAATCTGTTTCAGTTCTTATATTGTGCATGTTCTATCCCTGTGTGTGTGTGTGTGTGTGTGTGCACGTGCGTGCGTGTGTTTGTGCTGTTGTTTTATGATGAGATCGTCGTACTGTATTTCAACTGGTGTTAGCTGTTCTAAGCCATGTTAATGCATTAGTGGGATATAAATCTTTTGCAGAAATAAAGGGAGACACTATTGCATATGTACACAGAGTGATGATTTGTTCCCAGTTGAGAATGCTTATTTGGGAAAGGACAGTCTCCCCTTGCCAATTCTGTTACACTGCAGGTCTTGTAACAAGACTTGTAGTTCTGTAACCCATTGTGAAATAATAGGCTTATTTACACGAGCTCACAGGTTGTTACTGTGAGGCAAGTAGGAACTTTCTATCATAACAACCCTATTTTGCTGCTGCTGTTTTTTCTGAAAGCAGCAGCCAGCAACATCGTATATCAAGCACGTTTAAAATACATGTAGACAGAGAGAGAGAGAGAGAGAGAGAGAGAGAGACGCGATACAAAATGCAAGGAAGAAACTGGAGTAGTCTAATTTTTCCTAAATATGGTGCAGTCTGAAAGATTCAGGTGCTTTAGAAATATTTACATGCAACTTTTCCATAATGCAGTCTTTTGCCATTCTGAAATTATTATTGTAAACCAGGTATAGAGAAATTGTTGTGGGACTCCAACTCCCATCAGCCCCAGCCAGCATGACCAATGCCCAGGGGTGATGGGAGCTGGGGTCCAACTGGTCCCCACTCCCCTGTTGTAAACCAAACACAGCAGAAAACTATGGAAAATTAATTCAGCCCTTAACAAGGAGAATTAAGATAAGGCAGGTGGTGGGAAACAAAATAAAGCCTTGACTGTCCTTGTGAGGCAAAAGCTAGTGCAAATGAGAAAGAATAACCTAGAAGGATTCTGAGCAGTATTCAGATTTTGTGAAATCAGTCCTCTCTGGTCCACTTTTCAGGCTGCATCTTCTCAGCATTATCTTTCTCCTGCTTCCTTGCCCTGAACAAGACTTGATTATGTGCTGGATCTTACCCGGTGACCCTAGCTGACTTCCTTTTCCACACAGAGCAACGGCAGGATAATTAGTCAAAACCAGGATGATGGCTTGCTTAGCCAAGTTCGTTTTTCTACTTTGACCCTACAGTTAGTCTCTCCTGGCCAACAATTGCCATTCTGCAGAAGGGACAGCGCCAGATACGCTGCCTCAGCTTACAAATGCAATATGAGACAAACAGATTTAGACATTATTGCTGTACATGTTATAGGTCCAGTAAAAGAGAGAGAGAGCACCCAAGAGAGAAAATCCAAGTCCATACTCCACTAAAAACATATAAAGATGCATAGGTAAATACCATTTGTTTTGTCTCAAATCAGTCACCTAGGGCAGCTGGCTGTCTCTGCCTCTTGATGTCTTGCATTTGAGCTGGATTCTACCCCCCACCCCACCCTTGTGCAGATCAAAGGATCTAATCATGTGAACACAGCAGAACCCAAAGTGCTCAAACTTACCTCAGGCATGGACAACATGGGAAGCTTGTTCTCGAGTTCCTCTGACCTTGATGAAAGTTCCTCCCAGAAATCACATTCATATTCTTGTTCCTTCACCAGACCCAGTTCGAACCACATAAACTTGGAAGTGAAATCTCACTGATTTCAAGGGAGCAGCATTCCAAGCAAGTGAGCTTCGTATCACAGCCTTAAGCACAACTCTTAACAATTTGACACGGACCTATAGAAAGCAATCTGGGAATCTCCGTCTACAGGACCCATTTCCTATTGGTGCACCTAACTGAGGTGGATATACATGCCAGATTTTGTTTTATGGGACTGTTTTCTTTTTAACAGTTGGAAGTATCCCTGAGTGAGGCAGGGTAGGGTACGTGCTTTCCAAATTAATAAAATCAATATGCTGTCCCTGCAGAATTTTTTCCCCCAAAAACACTTCTCTCTTTCTTTCTTTTTTACAAATGCTTTTTTGTAATACATAAATGCAACAATGGCACTTCAGTTTAACCTTCTACTGCCATGACTTGGACTAATACCAAGAAACAATATTGCTTACATTTTAACATACAGGTATTTTTCCACCTTCAGAATTTTACTTCTGGGCCAGGGAGTGGGAAGAGAAAGAGAGAGCTGAGGGAAGGTCACACAAAAAAAAACCAACAACAACCAATGAAGGCCATCTGCTCAGAGCTGTGAAACAATGAATACAGATCCACCTCATAAGTAGCTGCTTCTAATTATGAAATTCACTATACTTTTCTCTCTAGAATAATATGAAAAAAATACTCTGGAAAAGAGTGTCACTATGGCACTGGATAGAAAACTGCCTAGAAGCACTCCCCCCCACCCCTAATGCCACAGGCCAGGAAATAATTTCTGCTCCAAAGCTAACAAACTTAAAATGTGCCATTTCCATACCTCTTCCCTCACACACGCCAGTTCGATCCAGGCTGAGGCCTCTGAAAGATATGCTGCAAGAAGCAGGCGCTTGGGAGGCACATGCTGTAGCAGCACTGTTCTGACATTTGCTAAGCACCAGAGTCCCTCAAGTGACTGGGAGCTAAGCCATTGACGTCACTGAACAATAGGCAAAATATTTCCTCCTCCTCCATAGCCCTGAACTGTAAACACCAAGCCTGAACACAGCAGGCTGAACATTTGGGGAGAGGTGGGAGAAAGAGAATGTGAGAAGCTCTCAAGCGATGCTGCCTGAAAATAAGCAGCTGCTATTGCTGCCGCAAAACAAGCGTCTTCATCTCCATTCTCTGTGTGTGTGTGTGTTGTGTGATTTATGCTGTAAGATTGTTGGAACAGACTTGATTTCAGAGCCCAAAGTAGTAGAAGTGTTATAAGGAAAAACAACATCCCTCTTTACATATATTTCCTTTTTTTTTTTTTAAAGAACCTGCCCCCATTGATCTCATCTGTCCACATGCCTTAAGTTAAGTCCCAGGGATGCATTTCCTGAAAGAATTAAATTATCTTCCTTTTCAACCAGTGGATATAAGAGGATGTTGAAGAAGCAGGCCAGAGCAAGGGGACAAAGGGGCAGAGAGCAGGGGGAGAAGGAAAGAGGGAAAGAAACATACGGAGTCTGCCTTCAACAGTTAGGAATCTGCCTTGTATTGCATCAGACCATTGGTTCATATGGTTCAGTACTGTCTGCACTGACTGGCAGCAGATCTCCAGGATTTCAGACAGAGTTTTCTCTCAGTGCTACCTGGGAGTGCCAGAGTTTGAACCCGGGGCCATTTGCATGCACAGCAGATGCTCTGACACCAAGCTGCAGTCCTTCCCTTCCTCTACTGTTCAAATCCGACAAGGGAAATTGTGTGTGTTCCATCCTATTAGACCTTTCTGTGACCTTCAGTTCCACTCATCACAAGGTGTTGGCAGTGCAACTGTGAAACCCAGCAAGCATTGTGAGACTAATACTCAGCGGTAACTTCTGCAGGACAGTCCCAGACAGTTGCAGTGTACTCTCTTGTTTCTCCAGCTTCTTCAAACTGAACAGCATGGAGAATATTTCTCCTGCATTTTTAAAGCATTCTCCATCAATTAATAAGGAAATTGCATTCAAAAATTATCAGGGGGAGGGCAGAGAGGGCTAGTGAAATTTTTGTGGGTGGAGTGCAGGGTTCCTTGTAACACTTTGCTTCCTTTCAAGGTATTTGTGGGTGTCCTTTCTGAGGGGGTAAGTATGAGATGGTGCTAGTGAGGATATATCATTATTTAGAGGCTAGGCAGAAGGTAAGATCAGGATCTGCTTCTCATTTGAATTGCTTAACAATTAGGATTGCCATACATCTGGAATTACCCAGACATATCTGGAATACTGTAGTTGGCAGCAGTGTTCGGGTGGAAATTGGCAAATTGTCTGGGAAAATCCCATGTTGGCAGTGTCATTTTCACTCAAACCTTTGTGTCCCCCACCCCACAAAGAAGCTGAACAATTTTGCCAAAAAAAGCTCACTGCTTCAAATATGGCAACCCCATTGAACAATAAGAAGAACATTTGAGGGGGATGGGTTTTTCTGTGGCAGGACTGTGAGTTTTATGAAGTTCTGGTACTCAGATGCCTGGGCTCTGTGTTCTTTAAATGAAGTGTATGTCCTTTTACTAGGTTCCAGTGATGGAACTCAAGACTCTATGTCTGTCCAAAGGAAGCATGTGGCACCACCACCTGTTCAAAAAGCCTTGTTTTGAAAGGGAAGGTGCAACATCAAACAAGATGAAGAATCACATCTCTGGGTGTGTGCCTTTTGTGAAAAGCTAGTATTCTAGTGAAGATGCTAAAATTCTAATTTAGACTTCTGCTGCCATGCTGGCTTTGCATAGGTTGGGAGTTTTTGACACGAGGCCACTTTAAATCATTTGGTTCTCAAACCTGTATTCTGAAACAGTAGTCTGAAGAGGGCTTTAACCACACTCTTTTTCTGAACATTTTAAGAGAGTCTGGAGTGGAACACGCTTGCAGGAGCCGATGCTCCTCTTGTATGCAAGTATGTGGGTGGGTAGAATTGGATGGTTTGAATGAATGTTTGCATTCGTTTCTGAAAAATCCCATAGACAGGCTAATTCTGTAACTGGGAAATTTGTATGTCTGGATTGTATCTTCGGCATTCCCCCCTGGATGCAACCCTCCCTGTCCTGGATGCCGTCAGCAATTCATGGTGGTTACAATGATAAGCACATTTCTGCTCTGTCTGCAAAAGTGAACCATCCCCATCCCAGTGAACTGTTCAGAGCTCCAGTGAGACCAAGGTCCAATCTCAGTGCTGAGGCATCTGAAATTAATTAGTTAACATCAATATGTTTATAGCACAGTTCACTGCTGAACTTCAAAATTAACCATATAAGAGATTTTTCAAACGCTAGAAGGAAAGGGGAAAGTGCGAACATTTTTGCCAAATAGGAAAAACTGATTTCATTCACATTTTGGATTTTTGTTTCATAATTTGGTTACTCAGTCATAGCTAAACTCAGGGCTCCCCGCCCCCCAGCTGGAGCTCACCAAAGCTCAGCTCCAACGCCTCTCAGGTGGGCACCATTGCCATTGGCTAAACTCAACAGGATTTTGTTCTAAGTTCCACACAAAACATTCACCTTCATGAAAGCACAGAAAACTTCATTCCCTATAACAAATGTACTGTAATTGGTTTCTGAAAAATCATCAGTGCACTCAGACTGCTAGTATTTTGTGAGAGGGATTCAGGCACATACCAGGAAACTGGTGCTTTGTTACCCCAGCACACTTTATAAAAGAAACAGAGCTTTCTGCAGGTAGGAAAGTGACAGGGAAATGCATGGGAAGGTATGGAATGAATGAATGATTCATGGGAAGACATATTAAACATACTGTAGGCAATTCAGGATGAATGCTCACTGTCATATAACCTCCCCACAAGCAAATTAGGATGAATGCTCAGTAAGGCAAGCCCTATGTGTGTGTGTTCATGCCTGATGCAGGCTGTTTTGCAAATTGCTCTGTAGCAGCTGAAACTAGCACCCGTTATAATACAAAAGGCCACAAAATGAGCCATTGGTTGCTGTGCTGAGTGAGTCTTAAGCTTTAGAAACTATTCTTCTGTTAAGTAGAAGAGCAAAAGCGTGCACGCACGCACGCACACACACACACACACACACACTATTCTTCTAACCGACTCATGCCTGCCAGAAAAAATTAAAGATAGAAGCAAACCAAGAAGTTGTCTTAGCCCTCCAAACCAAAATGCAAACCGCATCATTAGATTATACACAGAGGAGGATAAAATGGTATGGTGGTGAATAAAATGTCACTGTGACTTTGAAGAAACATTGCTGGAATATCTGCCCTTCCTTATGCATGAAGAGAAAGACAAACACTCGGTTTAAGCCAATGGAAAATCATAATAACCATATTTTACATTTTAATTGGATTATCTCCAACTAATTAAAAAAAAAGGTCATGGAAAGTAATTACTGTGAATTGTGGAGAAGTCTCCAAAATGAGGATATTAGGAAGCATATTAGGAAGTACCTAGGAAGGTCCCTAAGGAGTATTTGAGTAGGAAAAAACTTAACAGAAAACAGAATATTAACTCAAAATGAAATGCACGGCCATGTCCACAAGAAGTAAGTAGAAAAATATGTTGCTACGTGGCTCTGTGAAGTCCCATGAAGTAAATCAATGGCCTCAACATAAGTTTAATTATTTCTATGTGAATGGGCTGTCACACATTCATTTACTTGCATTTTATAGTGTCGTGAGTTGGGGGGGGGAGTGGGAAGGTTAGGTTGTATGATGCTTGAGCCCCTTCCAATTCCTGGATCCAGAAAGGTTTAAAATCTAATAGAGGATCCCATTGTTGAATTAGCCAGGCAAGGGCCATAATGGCCCCTTGGTATGGGTCATCAGTATAAGAAAGGAAGTGGCTCCCTCCCTCTCCTGGTTGGGTGTTGGAAGGACAATAGTCAAGAGTGTGGTGTGAGTGTGGGGCTAGAGGCAGTCAGAGAGTGAGAGCCATGTCTAATTTCTGATACAATCCAAAGCTGTGGCTATGGGAGAAGCAAGACCCTCCTGCAGTGTTGATGCATAAATCCCCTCCACCATAGGCTCAGGTTGTATTTATGTATGAATAAACCATACATCATAAAGACACCACAGTCTCCACTGTTCCTCATTCTAAGGAAACTGAACCCTGGTTAAGCACCTGGAGCCCCTGGAATCTTACCCCACTCAGAGACTGGGGTGGTGTTCCACAATAGCTATGCCTCCACCATCTTGTTGTTTGAAAGAACAGACCCATTCAATGAAATGTGGATGTGTGAAGAGGTTGCATATAATGTGAAGGATTAGATGCACTGAGTTCATTCAGTCATTGTACTCTACTGATCAGCCAATAGTCATGTATCTGCAGTGTGAAACCTCACTCACTGCAGACTTCCTACAAGGAATACTCAGGGGTAATGGGATGGGGGCCTCCCTGTCCTTGGTTGCTGCTAGGTGGTCACAGCTTTGGTGAAAAATATGCCACCTTTCACAGTTTACTATGTCATGGGAAATTGGACAATTCCTCTGCATGCCTTTACTTAAAGCCTCGCTGCTTTCATAATTCCACTTCTTCTTGCATAACGAGGATGATGCCATCTAGAAGCCATCCCGATACGGCACAAAGAATCACAGAAAGTCAACCAACACAATGCTCAACGTGCTTGCCCTATTTTCAAAGCTGGGTTAAACAGGAATTTGCCAAGTCGTGCATCCATATAACAGAAGAATCTGACTAGATGAGGAAATGAGTCAAAACATCCTTTTAGAGCTCTTTTGCCGCCACTTACCCAGCTACAGTACTAGCTGTGCTATCTTTCCACTCAGCAGATGCATCAGTCATCTCTCTTTAATATCAGATACTCTCTATCACCCTGTCTGATTAGTTCCTCTGCTAGCTGCTGCTTTGATAGAGCGGAAAATATTAGACTGCATCACAAGTTAAGGTGAGAAGTTCAAGAGACCAAGATTTCGTCTCTTGCTGCCTTTTGGTTCT